ATTTAATTAATTCAGTTCTCACTTCGCGAGAAGGCAAATATACATAAAAACTCAAAATATCTATATTAAAAATTACGAAGTAAATCTCAAACACTTATTTCCTCCAAAAAATTCCAGAAAGAATTAAGCATGATTTAATTGGCAATAATAAATGAATGCGTTATCTTTGTTGTTGCGAAGCTAAGTTTCTCTAGATTGGCAACAAATCCTCTAGTCTCCTGTTTCAAATGTAAACATCAATGGCCGGCATTAAAAACAGGCTTAGCGGCAATTAAACAACTTTAAATGCTGATAATTCTAAAAATATTGCACACAGATTACCAAAGGCATAAATCCTTAACCGAAAGAAAAAACAACATAATTCATCATTTTTAAAGCAAAAAATGTACAATTTACAAACATATAAGAGTAAAGAAACTGAGATCATTGAGCCGGGTAACAAAGTGGATATATATATAATATATTTATATGCGTTGGGCGGCCGATTGCACCAAAATACGAGGTGCACATCTACATGTTATAAACAGTCCTATATACAAAATTTCAACGTTTTCTGAGGCTACTCGTTTTTGAGATGCGAGATAGTACATAGTTCGTACAGACGCCACGAAAAATTCTCTTCAATTAATTTTAAAGCAGTTTTAATAATTTTTTGAAGGAAAAGAGTATTTTATTCTGTCCTTACGTACAATATCACGCAAAAACATCGTTAAATTGCATTCGAAACGGTCAAAATGGATATTTTTCGTGAAATATGCTGCCTGAAACTTTTCGCGATTACAATACTTCCTTTTACTTCGCACAAGGAAGTAAAAATTCAAATATCCCAAAACTTGAAACTTTTAAGCGTACACTTCGATTAACAATCAACTAGATGCCTGTTGGCCATTGAAACTTCGCCAATGAAGAACTGTAAAAATGCAAATATACCAAAACTTCCAGCTAACAATACAAAACTTCCTTTTGTTTAAGCATGGGAAAATTTGTTTATACACTTCGTATCAGCATAACATCTAATCAACTAAATTGTTGATTAGATGCATAATGTACGACTGTTTTATCCAATGTTGGCCATTGAAACTGCAAGACAGTAAAGGAAAGCAAATAGAAAAAAGATATTTATTGTACGTAAACAGTATGGCATGAAGACAAACTGGGCAATGAGTCGAACTAGGCTTGGATGACAGAAATAGACTACTTATTATTATCCATGTTGCTTCAAGTCTAGGCCACACTTCATCAACCGTATTAAGTGGTAAGGGTGGCAGGCCAGCCTCTTAGCAACCCACGTCTAGATGGTTTCAATGGGTGTTTCAACCGACCAGTTGTTTTCAACCGTTCAGACCGGAGCAACAATCGAATACCTGTGTATAGAAAAAGGTCTGAACACTACGTGCAACATGTGGTCTGGCATTATCTTGATGAAAGATGGCGTTTCGCAGGTATCGAAGATACGGCATGACCACTGGACGTAAGATGTCATAAAGGTACCGATCTGCGTTCAAATTACAGTCTATCCGAACTACAGCGGTACGTGCCGCGGACCGAATGGCTATCTAAACCATCACACCATGGCTATCCAAACCATCACAGGTGCAGAGCCCCTATGCCAATATCAAATGCACACAGGCGACATGCAATCTCCTCGGAGCCTCCAGATACGTATACGGCCATCAGAATACTGCAAGCAGAACCAGGACTCGTCTGAAAAGACGACATTATGCTACTCCTGTGTACAGCTTTGTCGTTCAGCGCACCAGAGTCGCTGTCTCTCTCTGTGCTGCATTGTCAAGGGAAGCTGAAGGAATGGTCGTCGTGCTGATAGTCCACTCTGCTCTAAAGGTCGACGCACCGTACGAGCGGATACTGGGCGTGCTGCAAACATGGCCATTTTCTGACTAATGGTCCGTGATGTAGCCGTACAATTTTGCAGGACTGACCTCACAATATAGCTGTCTTCTTGGGAGTTAGTCATGGGAGGGTGTTGAGATCCTGCCTGCCGTTCAGTATGACCCTCAGCAACACATTGATGTTTTCCAGTGCGACGGGCGAAATCACGGAACGATAATCGATGTTCTCGACAGGCAACGATCTTGCCTCTATCGAATTCCGATACTTGCTGTAACCACGTCATCTTCTTATTCGAGGCGTAACACGATATTCTGAGCAAACGCCGACCTTACAAAGCGCTTTCCGAATGAGAAATCCACTACACAACTCTCCTTTTATGCAATGATTCAGATCTGCCTCCCGTGTCGTCTAAATGCGCTGAAATACTAATCATTTGCATATCCCAACCTCTTCTTCGTTACATGTGATTTTTGACATTCGTCAGATCATTCCTTCCTGGTGTTGCAATTATAATAGCGAGTGTAGTTTATATTTATATTGTAGAAAAGTTAGTGCATATAGCGGCGTTATTGCGTTCCTGTATAAACCTGTTTTCGGCCATCTGTCTCGCATCGTGCCATGTTTGTTATTAACTTAAGTAGTTGGCGCCATCTAGAAATATTAAATCATAGGCGCGTGTCAGTGGATTTTTTCTTTTATTTTCGTATCTGACGAATTATCTCAGTTTTTTAACTGTTATTTCTTTATTATTTTGTTGTTATATTGTTGTTAGCGTGTTGATGGAAATTGAAAGCGTAAATTTATTGAAGTAAATTGAACAATAGCTAAGTTTTAGTAATAACATTAAAACAAGTTGTATACACCACTGTTTTTAATACAAGTGAAAAATCAGTGGAATTATGCAATGCTTATTCACAAAAGGTATTACATAACGCTCAGTGCTTACGTAACATACTGTATTTTAAGCACCCACCTATATTTATATTTTACTCAGGACGTAAAAATCGCTACTATGTTATTTATTGTTATTTATTTAAATTTCCATAACGATAAAAATGGAACAGAATTTTATTATAGTAAACTTTGCACGGACCCCCTGACGTTGTTCAGGGTCCCCTAAATCAATTTTAATTTTTCGCGGAGCCCCTGAATGATACCGGGGACCCCTGGGGGTCCGTAGGGACCACTTTGAAAACCACTGATTTAGTTAAATTAACATAAAACCCTGCATGTCTGTTGAATGCTATATTGCTTTATTCCCATCTATTCACATAAAACAAACTTTTATGCATGGTAAGTAGGGAAAAAGGACTTATCGTAATGCGACCTTTTTGATGATGAATATTCGTTTGAAGGAATATGCAAAAAAAGAGCAATAATTTTCACTGTTGTTTAGCAGATCAAGTCGGTTCCTGATAACAAAAAGTAAATTCTTACTAGATAACAATGCAATAGTTAGAGGTGGAAAAATATAAAGAAATTAGATTTTTATAATTATGTAAATCGCAGAATAATCTATCAGTTCCTGACAGGGTTAAATTTAATATTTATACCATATTATTATACATTATATCAGTAATATCTACTGCTAAAGTTCTAAATGCCCTGCATGTATAACTGCTGTTTGACATCAACAAGCTTAAACAAAAGCCAACCTAGGAAATTGATTTTGATGAAACACTACTGCTTTTTTTTAATGAAGATAAGGAAGTCTTCTCCCTTCTTCGAGCAGCTAAAGTATTTCGGTTGCAGTTCTAATTCTGATTCTAATTGAAAATGAATCTGTCTTAAATAAGTAGAATTCTGCTTCTTGTAGAAAAGCGACCTTGTACTTGCATTCATAGAATAAGGTATTTTCTTCCTACTTTCTGCATGCATTCATGGTGTAACGCTAATACACTTAACGCGTATTCGAGAGGAACAGGTTCGAGTTCCGGTGAGAACATTGCTCATTTTTCATGTTTCCTGCTAACGAAATAAGCTAATGACTCTACAATTGAAACAAGTTAAGATTAAAAAAAAATCAACATACATCCAAGACTGATTTTTCCTTAGTTTAAAATGGTATTTAATATTCACATGAGTGTCTTCCATATGAGATGGAAGAGATGTTTGCATGAAAGATTTTCAAAACAATACTGTTTCCACAATATGAGAATGATGGAAACATTTTTGTCTGAGAACTGTACAACTCGTTGATTTCAATCTGTTAAGAAGAAATAAAACTGGCATTTAGGTAGTGTTTCGTTGATGAATCAAGTTAATAACTCTCTGCTTTTAATCTTTTACCTTGAAAAAAAAAAAACGGCTGCAATGCAATTATCTTCACTCCATGACCGTATGGAGTAATTAAGTTTATCTGGAGCAGAAAACATAAAAAATTAGCCGTGCTCTCGCCGGGATTCGATCTCCGGACCTTACGATCCCCAACTAGACGCACTTTTAGTTATATTACCTGGAAAAAATACCTTACAGCCTTACTGGAAGTTAAGGTATGTTTATAGAGATCTCAACATGAAAATACTCTTAAAATGAGAGATTCGGACTCTCATTTTAAGCCTAGTGTCTCATTTAAAAACATTCTTCTTCATATGATTCTGGAAGCATTAGGGCTCTCAAGTCCAGGATGATCTCTTTACAGAGGTTAGACCCAGCTGATTACAAGCGATAAAGTCGTTGAACACTGGTAGTTCGGTCCGTGGTTCGAATTCCAACGAACGGGTTGGCTGCATGGGTGTTTTCTTGGTTTTCTCCATGTAAAGCGTGTATACGAGCCAGTTTAAAGTCCTCTACGAAGGCATTCCTCCTCTTAGGTAGCTATCTCTCGAGAGCTTTGCCGTAATCAAATGAACCAAATCTAATCAAACTAAAACTTTATAATAGAGGTTAAGACACAGTAGTTATACCCCCACAAAAGGCGCCGCTCTGCGAAATGAAACTTTCTACTTTCGCACATGCATAAGAAACAGAAAATCCGAACCTTCTCAGTCTACCGCGCTGTTGAGAAAGAAACTTATACTAGAACTAAAATATAAACAGGGTTTACTTATAACCTAATACCTTGTATATCTGATTTCGGATAATATCGTAATAACTTACTGAGTTTCAATGACAATATTCTTGGTTGAAAAGGAAGGAAAATCACTTACCTACTGGACGACCGAACTTTTCCGCAAATGCTAAAACAGCATCACAGTCCGTTAACAGGAAGTACCAAACGAGAAACAGTAAGAGTAAAAACCAAGTGACCGGAAAGAAGAATTCAAGCACAGGTATCATTTTGGTTATACCTGTAATAAATATAATAATAACAACTCTTAAAATAATAAATCGTCTAGCGATAAATGGATTTTCACCAAGTCTTTAATTAATATAATATAAAAGTAAACATCTGTTCAGGAGCATTTGAGTAAAATGCTTAAAAATCCTTCATCAGATGAAAAATTGAATGCTTTCCTCGTTATAGCACTCGCATACATTAACATGTTCGTCTGTCTTTACCGCATTAGCTTGAAACGATTATTCGTAATCGAAGGAAAAAAAAATTCAAATTCTAAATGATTGCTGACTGACGTTTGAATTTCAATTATTATTTCTCTATTTCTCACTTCATTCGCCTGTTGCTAAGAGGATATCTGATCAGATATATCGTATTTATTCAATCCTAAGCCAGCACTGATTATAAACAAATTCCAGAAAACTGAAGCTAACAATAAATAACATTTAGTGATATCTGGCAATATTATTGAGCCGAATCTAAACCGGCGGACATTTTGTGCAGCAGGAAAAGAATAATAATAAAAAAAAACCTATTAAATATGGTATATTATTTTACCTAGTACATACTTAACATTTTGAAAAAAGACAGTAGCAGTTTTGAAAAATAACTCCTATAATTCAAAGCAATAAATATTCTCTATAATACATAGATATATATTTTAAAAGTAACTGTACAATGTGCGTGCCGCTAAACCTCAGAAACGAGTCCTGGTACGATTAGTGGATTTATATGGCGTGATAGCCCTCTATGCCCGATCCATGGAGAAAGTTCCCGTTTTTACCTGAAGAGCGTGCTTTTGAAGATTTAAGGGCCGAAAGTTTCGCCCTTTAGAAATTTCTAGAACAGTCCAGAACATTCGAGAGCATTCCGCAACATTTCATAACATTATAGAATGTTCGGGAACATCCCAGATCATTGTGGAACATTCCAGAACACTCTCGAATGTTGTGAAATGTTCTAGAACATTGTGGATCATTTCAAGCCGTTTTTGTATGGGTGGGGATACCCATTTGTAGGAGTACATAAACCAAGATCCGTCGTGGGTTCGAACGTCAGTTTCTCATCAGTGAAATGCAACAAGTTAATAAAAACAAACAGTGAAGTGTGAGTAATCAAAGTGATACAGTGACTGAATATAAGATACTTACGGTATTTCTATAAAAAGTAGATTTGATTCATTAGAATGTCCAAACGTAAAAGAGGAGAAGATCTTGCCGGTTCTGAGACAAAACGGAAAAAACGAAAAGAACAACGAAAAAACGAAACAGTCAAAGTGCGCGAAGCGCGTTTACGTTGCCAACGAAGGAGAAGAGCACTCTAAGAAGCAGAGAAACAGAAGAACAACGAAATGAACGAATTGAAGAATCAAGAATTGTGACACAATCCTATAATAAAAGACTGCGAACGCAAGCCACCCATGAAAAATATCACCCTACGAGAAGCGCTGACAAGGACAAGTAAACAGTACAACCTAACAAATGAAACATCCCACTACTACCCCGGCGAAAGAATATAACAAACACAAAAACACCAATCCGGCGTGCCTGTTTCAAAGGGCAATTTTGGCAACTAAAATAATATTGTAGACAATATCAACTTTAATATTCAAACGAAAATTCTATGTGAAGAGAGAATATACAAATCGATTGACACAATGGTAAACGTTTTAAACTCTTCGCAAGTGCCAGGGAATGTCATTACACTACCTTCGACGAAAAACTGGATCTCCGGATGATCCTACTCGGAAATCTCAACTCACTAAAACTATGTAATGGAACAAAGGTGGTCGTGAAACAGCTATCGAATTAACATCATCGAAGCCGAACTTATGACTGAAAAGGGAAACGGATACGAAGTATTTATCCCCATATCACTGATATCTACTGAAATGCCATTCCAATTTAAAAGACCACTACATCACGAAGGCTCGCTAAGAAGGCGAAAGAAATACCTTATAAGGCACATGGTTATCTCGCCAAGCGGTCGATGGCTTTGGCAACTAATTTCTATCGCCAAATTTGGCGAGAAATCTCCAAATGTCGTCAAACTTGGCGAAAATTTTGTGACATTTTGGCCCGATCCCTGTATAGCTGTAATTGGTTTCATATGTAACTGTAATTGCTTTTGACCTTATGTAACTATAATTATGAATGCCTTCCAGCAATTTCAAGAAATCGAAGGTATTGGGAATTCATCGAAAGACGGTACTTAGTACTTGATGCTTTGTGAGGTTTACCAGCGTGGCGGTTCTTTGTTTACATTTGAAACTATTAGTAGTCAGAATATTAAGTCTGTTCGTGCACCAACTTCAGAATCTTTTTGCCCAAACTTTGGGTCACTGAAATGTTTTTGCACCGAAAATTTTGTGTTCCTGCACGTTGGTCGAATTTCTTATTTTTCTGTAGAAACTCTAATTTCAATTACAAAAATTGTTTTTTAAACTATTTTAATTTTATTTGGTATTTTACGATTTTCTATATTTTATCATTTTTAATATAAAAGTTTTGAGCTTTTATGAAATTTGCCTTAATTTCGCGAAGTGAAAACTGAATTTATTGAATGAAAAATACCTCTGAAGAAATTTGAGAAAATAAGTTTAAATAAAGTGCAGCAAAAAAATATGTATAATAAGTCGTGCAGGGAAGTCATGAGGTGTGCACATAAGACGTTTTCATTCACTATCCTTCGTAACTATATTTCAGCGGCACAAGAATGTTTATTAAGTTGTGGCATAAATGGAAATTCAGCTTATTGACATAATGGTAAATAGAGGTAGACAGACCGAAAATTTATAAGAAAAATTGTCAGTATTATACAGATGGACACCTTTTTGGAATATTTTCTGAAGTCTTCCAATAAATAAACCCAAGGAGAGAATAAAGAGACAGCCAGATAAATTAGAAAACATATCCAAAATTCATTTAGAGAAAATTTTGGATTAAATATGGACAGATGTAAACCAGGTTCCTGTGTTTCAAATTACGGATAGCGGACAAAATTCTTTTTGTCGATCCTGAACGCTCTGCAAGAAATTAAGCTGCTAACTAGATTAAAAGCTAAAAAATTACATTTATTATTATATGACATTACTATAATTATTGATGCCAATAAGTTCAGTAAATTTGTCCAGAGTATGGCTGGAATTTTTTGCAGAAAAAGCACGCAGTTTGACGCAGTGTGGCGACTTTTTACAAATCATGACGTAGTTCATTATTTATCATAACTGAAAAAATTAATTTATTACATATATACTTATTAGCATTTATATGTTTTACATTATGATCAGGTATTTATACCCAAAATCGATCAATAAATCTACTTACAAGATACTTTTGATTTTTTCCTGCTCTGGTGGAGAATTTAGGGCGATTGTTTTAACAAAAGATTTAAAACGATTGCTTCCTT